GAAGGCAAGCTCCCCAGTTCGACGGAAGCCATGTCTAATGACGTTGGTCGGTTTTGGGCGTCCATGGTGGAGGCGAATATTTGGAAGATCCGAAAATGCGACAAGCAAGAGGACCGGCCTTTTAGTGATTATAACAAAGAAACAACGCGGAGCTTGACTGCTGGAGCAATTCAAGTGCGAACAATGCAAATAAAGGCACTGCATCTGATGAACAGCGTGGCATCCGCGAACAGTGATCTATTGCAATTAGCCTACGGAAAGAGTCATTAGTAAACGTTTCATCGCTTTCGTGCGACTATGTATCGTTTCCACGGCTGAATTACACATCTCGACGAATGCAGTGGTGGTGAGAAGAAGCCTGGGGACGACAGGTTTGGAAGGCGCGGCGTGCTGACGAACGATTGGCGTACCGGCGCTTTCCCTCGGATGCAGGGGCTAGCCTTGGGGTGGCATATTGGCCGCACCGAGTAGTCTCAACCACAGACAAAGTCAGTAGTTGAGCATGACTGTTGTAGTTTTGGCAGTTGGCTCATAAAATGTCCGATCATAATTGTTTGCACGAGATGTACGTGCAGAGCATGCCTTCACTAGGCGTGCTCGAGGGTATCATACCACAACTCCAAAACTCCAAGCGCAATGACCATTCAGGCATGTCCGTATATACTTCCCCGAATATACTCAGGCTTTCGCCTTGCCCTTGCCAGTACCAGCAGGCCTACCTCGCTTCTTCCCTGCCGCGGCTGGCTGTGCGCGAGCAACTGGCTGTCCATCTGCCCGCCTACCCTCGGCTGTTCTGATATCCTCAAGCTCCTTCTCCAGCAAGCCTTGCAGTTGTTCGTTTCGCCTCCCAAGTAGCAATACGTCGTCTGTATTGATTGTATTGCGTCCGGCGTGTTTGGAGAAGACTTCGAGGTCGCGGGCTGTGTTTGCTGTGACAGCGTCAGCACCCTGTAGTCTGGGTAGTATCCAAGGACTCGAGGTTGTTCGTACCGATCTGAGTATATACAAGCTCAGTAAGCGCGCCGATGAACTGAGGTGTTGCGTTCAGGTCGTTTTCCAACGTCTTTTCATCAACAAATTGGCCGATTGAGTACCAGAGGGCTGACTTGAGCCGCTATGCACGTTGTCAGTCCGAGCTCACTATCATTTTAGATGATAAATTCTCTACCTCTTCGCGCTCTGCTTTGGCATCATCGTTTGACGCCATATCGCCGCGTGGTTGAACTTCAGTCGCGTGTAATTGCCGGCCAGACGAGTGACGCGACGCGCCTAACGCGGGCCAATAGCGGGGCCTCGGTGATGATCGGGGAGAAAGTCACCGCCCATGTTCTGCCACCTGGGGGTCCACGCTTGAGTGATTTATTGTTATTGCGCGCAATTACTTCCTCGTCAACATCGCCTTTCACGCACAAGTCCATACGCATCAGTCTATCGCAAAAGTCACCGAACACTTCTCTCGCGTCACCCTCCAACGAAGCCGTAATCGCACCCCGACGTCGCTTTTCCACACTACTGCGCACCAAAACTACAATCGCGAATACAAACATCACATACCCAAGATGGACTACGTACTTGACAACGTGGTCGAGTGGAAGGACCGTCTGGTCAACAACTCGATCAAGTCTTTCGAAGAGATGACTGCCCAGCGCTGGGTTCGCATCATCGCTATCGTGGGCGCATACCTCCTCATCCGACCATACCTGCTCAACGCGGCCGCAAAGAAACAGAAGCAACAACTAGAGAAGGAGGCTGAAGACCTTGGCTTGGGGAAGACAGATGCATTAGACGCCAACGACTTCAGAGGCAAGGGCGTCAGGGTGAAGAAGGGCGAAGCGAAGAAGAAGGAGTAGGTGCACACATAGGAAGATGGACGGACATGGGAATGGGGGGTGGTAATACTGTGGAATTCGGACGAGGATGATCTTGATGGGAAGAAGGAGCATAGACGGCTTGAGGGACATGGATATGGGCTGCATACCAACGGCGTTTTGGCATTCGGACTTGGCTAACATGCGGACCTGGACTGTCTTTCTGGCACACTCCTAACACGACGACTGCGATGCATGCGATTACGCGCCTACAGAGAACGACACAACAATACATTCGAGCAGAAATCGACGAGCTAAGCTCTGGGAAGTCCACTTCTGCTTCAATATCGTAATTCTAATAAGATCAACTCTACCCCTTTCTCAATTCTTCAGCGCTTTCGATTCCCTTACTCCGCAGATCGAGCATCGGTGTGTTTATCCTGAATGCTGGCTAATGGACCTCGGTCTCGTTCGCATTTGCACTTGCCTCCATGACAGAAACCCGTTCGTTCAGTGCATGTTCACGCCACATCATCTTCACACATTCACCGTGTTTGCTAGCCCAGCACTCCATTCCATATCCCAAACCACTCCCAGCAGCGGCGTCCGCTCGCTGCCACTTCAGCCCATGATCATCACATTCACAACCCTTCCGCTTCACATGCTTTTCCTTCATAACCCAACTTAGTCCCTTCCGACTATGTATCCGCACGCGCAACCTGAGCACTACCAATGCCTGACGACGACGCGTACCGCAAGCAAGTTCAAGGAAAAGTCCAAGACCTGGTTTCTGAACGTCACGAGAAAAGCGGTGCCAAACTGGTCATCGAAGCTGTGGTTGAGGGTGTGAAGTTGTATCGCAGTTACAAAGAAGAGAAGGCAGCAGAAGAGAAGGGGAAGGGGAAAGGGAAAGAAGAAGGGAAGCACAGGAGACATAGGAAGGGAGGTGGTATGGACGAAAGTGGGAAGGATGGGCATAGGAGGCATCGTAGGCACAGGCGCGGTGATGAACACGGTCATGGATCCAGTGGTAGACATCGACACCGTCGTCACCGTTCTGGATCAAGGGATGAAGAGCGTGGAAGACACCGTCACAGCTCACGGGACAGAAGCCCCAGATCTCACCGACGTGACCGGAGCAGAGACATTCGCGACCCAGTCACCGAGCCCCCTCACAACAATGACTCTGAGTATCAGATGACCGGTGGTGCAGGACCAGCAGATACTTTGCATGATGGCCATAGGAGGACAGACGCTCCATTGCCTGGAGCCGGAGATCGGCCAGGAAGTGGCGGCAGCGGTTATCAAACTTCATGGGAAGATTTGGCACCTGAGCCTCGTCCCCAATCGCGATCTCGTGGACGCAAGGAAGCACACCGTACAGAACGTAAAAGATCTCGTACACCCCATCAATCTCATCGTCGAAAGTCTGGCGGGCACCGGAGCTCACATCAGCGTGACCGCTCACGTACCAAACAATCGGATCATCGTCCAGGTCGCATAGGCGCATCGCAATCTCCAACAAGGCAGCAGAAAGGACCAGATGGCACACCGTTCGGTAGCTTGCCCGAGTACAAAAGCAAAGGCGGCATTGCCATGGGTCTTGGGGATCACTTCATGGCCACCTATAGGCACATCAAAGCCGAGCATGAAGCCGGCCACCGTACCAAAGGTGCGTTGGAGAACGTCCTTGATGGGATGTGGAAGAAGAAGACGGATGCGAAGGGTTACAGTGACAGACTCCGAGAAGGGGAAAGGAAAGAGAGGGAGAAGATGAAGACGGATGCGAAGGATTATAGTGACAGACCAAGGGAAGGCGCAAGGAGAGAGAGGGAGAAAATACGAAAGAGCGAACCAGAGCGTGTCAGATGGACCGAACGGAAGCCTGAAAAGACGCGGGGCGATGAATCGAAACAAAAGGCTGCTGAAAAGGAAGCAAAGGAACGCCATCGTCATGAACAAGACGAGCGCCGCCGTGAATACGAGAAACGACTTGAACACGAACATCGTGAGAAACGACAACATGAGGAAGACAGCAAGAAGAATCGTAGCTCGCCGATTCCTGAGATTCGTGTTCAGCCCCCTACGGCTAGTGGGACTCCTCGCCGTGAACAAGACGAGCTTCGTGAGAGACAAAGGCAGGATGAGAAGCGAAAGCAAATTGAGGAACAAAGGCAGGAGGAGAAGCACTGGCAGGATGAGAAGCGAAGGCAGGATGAGAAGCGGAGGCAAGACGAGAAGCGAAGGCAGGATGAGGAACGAAGGCAGGCCGAGAAGCGAAGGCAAGAGGAAGACAGGAAGAAGAACCTTAGCTCGCCGATTCCCAAGGTTCGTGTCCAGCCTCCTGCACCTAGTGGAACTTACATTCCCCAGTCAACTCCGGTGGCTCGCAATTCTCAGGCCCCTACTGCTCCGAAATATCCTCCTCCACCGGCTCCAAGACGGCCGAGCAGACCTATCCGGCCCAATACTCCTCCCAATCGTACACCCCCAATTGCTCTAGTAGCGCACGACCGGTATGTGCCACCGGCCCAGCCTCCGGCGTCTGAACATGGTGCAGCAGCAGACTTCTACGACCAAGCTCCATATTGGCCGATGCCAGACGAATATGGAAATTATGGAGACCATGATCATCTGGAGCATGGAGGGGATGATGAACAGCCCGCTCATGATGAAGTGCCGCACCTGGGCACACACCCTTCCCCTGTTATGGCAGCTCAATATCCCGAGAGCGTTCCTTCTCCTATCATGGCTGCTCAAGATCCAGAGCGCGTTCCTTCTCCAACTATGGTCGCTCAATATCCAGAGAGCATTCCTTCTCCTACCATACCCCCACATCCAGATACACCTCCTTCTCCTGTTATACCTCCATACCCGGATACGCCTCTTTCTTCTGTCATACCTCCATACCCAGATACACCCCCTTCTCCGGATGTATCAGAGGGTCATTCAGGATCATCCTCACCAATCATGTCGCACGCACCACGCGCTCCTTCGCCACCAAATCGTTTCTCACCCGAATTCTTACAAAGCATCCCGATGCCAGCTCCCCAGCAAGCGGCATCTGCCCCAATTCCACCACCGCCGCCACCGCCCCCTCCTCCAGTTCCACCTCCACCTCCGCCTCCACCAGCAGCAAGACCACCTCCTCCGCCTGGGCCCCCTCCACCACGCTCAGCAGGTCCACCCAATATGGCCGCCATATTTGGCGATATCCTTGGCCCACGCAAACTACGTAGTGTGGCAGCTGAAGAGAAAAATGACAGTAGTAACCCGAGAGCGGGTAAGGTATTGTACGAAGAAACAGCACACAGTCGCGAGGTAGAAGAGCACGAGCGAGCTCAAGTCAGGGACGCTGGTAACCGTCTGCCAGTATCAGGAGCTAGTGGATGGAGTACCGCTTACTCCGTCAAAGAAGAAGCCGATGATCGACCAGAACCTAACAGAGCGTTCAGAGAGGAACTAGCGAGGAGATTGGGCCAAGGTATTGACACTCCTACGACGGGGACTCCCAAGAGTTCTGGTGATAGTTCACTAACAGCAGGCTCTAGGACGTCGATGAGTGCCAATGTGTCGCGGAAGCTGCAGGATGAGAGTATGTTGACATATCCCTAGAGCTGGATAGGACTGTACTGACGTGTTGATAGAAGCTCCTTTCCAACGGCTTCCGAGATCAGAGAGTGGGGAGGATCTCATCTTTACTTTGGCGGCACACATTGCGCAGCCAGGCTGGAGTTTTGACGGGCTTACTAGGAAATGATGATGACGGGATGGAACGAGATGAGGTGAGATGGAATGCTGGGAATGGATAGCCGGGTAGGCAAACCAGTGTGAGAGATAATTGATGTATGTTTGTCCAAATCATTCGGTCCACTTTGTCGTGAATGTGTGCATTGTAACGCGTCCTGTTGGTGAAGAGTGAACGCGTACGCACCAGGTCCGTGATGGTGAAGGCTGTTGACGAACGGTTGGCCCAGGCTTCCCAATTTCGCGGCAGAGCTCTGGACTGCCAAGCTCGAGCAGAAGAGCCGGGTTATTAGTCCTCATCCCTATTCCTCATATTATTAGCTATCTCGGCCTGGGAACTTCCTTGCGATCTTCGCGCGACAATTGCATCTACATTTCTATCGCTCCTTCACGATTGTTAGTGGTTGCCTCTGACGTTGAGCTGCATCCCCCACATTACTTCAACGTCGCTCCAATTGGACCCTGTGGCATCATCAGGCAGAAGAGCGCAAGCATACCGCCCGCAGCTTTCGCAGTTCAACACCACACCTCCCCCCACACAGAATCAACATGCGCTTCTCATCAGGCCTCGTTCTCGCTCTCCCGGCGCTCGCTGTCGCCGAGGAGCAGGTTCCTCTCCTTGACAAGGTGAAGGGCTTCTTCAACAAGGCGACGGCTGCCGTGTCCGCATCCATCCCCTCTATGCCGTCGGCGCCAGTCGACACCGCAACGAGCAAGGTGGCCTCCAACGCAGCTGCCGCCATCCAGTACCCAATTACCCTGGAGAACTGGAAAGAGACGCTTACTGTTGATGCTACCGCCAGCCCTCCTACCACACAGGACTGGCTCATCTTCACCACCGGCGGCAACACCACCTGCTTTGGCCTGTGTGGCAACGCAACCAAGGCATGGAACGTACGTATAGCATGCGGATATACAGATGACCGACACTAACATCAACCAGGCTTCTCTCCCCATCATGGCCGCGAAGCCTGATGCGCCCAAGTTTGCGTACCTTGACTGCGAAACCGAGCCTCTCCTCTGCAACGCATGGTCTGTCGGCGCACCGGCGCTCTACTACTTCCAGATCCCCAAGCCCATGGCTGACCAGTCCGCGCCCGTCCCCGTCGTTCGCTACAAGCCCTTGAACCGCACCAGCACCACCACCGAGACCTTCAAGAAGCTCATCGTTGACAACGAGATTGAGCAGGTCACCCCATACGAGGGTCCCTTCCACCCCTTCAACGGTGCTCTCCAGCTGTACAACCTTGCCATTCCTTACGCATACGTCACCTGGGGATTCTCCAAGATGCCCTCGTGGATGCCCATGATCATCATCTCCTTCCTCAGCAGGTCGTTCATGTAAGCTGAATCACTCTGAGATGAAATGCGCATGCTAATCCCAATTACAGGAGCAAGCGCATGGCGGGACCAACTCCCGCAGAGACGCGTGCCGCCGCCGCACAACCTGCTCGGTAAAGGCCCACACTCCTGCTTCCTGTGAACTAGAGACGCATGACAGGAACGTGACAAGCATCGTGCGCGATCTCAGATAATACCCAACAGAGGGATGCGAATACAGTCTTGGAATTGGACATGTTCTGGACTGGCTCGTGGAAGTACTCGGTAAATGGGGATGGAGATTTGGATGTGTGTTGTGGAAGAATAATGTAGCTCAGATACCTGGACAGGCGTTCAATCATTGCAATGCTCAGTTATACTACTATCCATGCAGAAAGTTCTTTTTTGAGTGAACAGTTGACGCATCTCATCTGCAGGGCTGCCAAGACACGATCGCGCTACGGGCAATGCCCGAGAATCTCTCGAACTCCGCAACCCCAGTTCAATATCACATCACAGCAACCATGGTGCACATATTGAAGCGCATGCGCAAGTTACGCGAGGCAAGTAGCTAATCTTCGTGCATGTCTACTCGTTCGGCAAGACTAACAAGCGCCATAGCACGTACGTAAGATTCACCTCCGCAGACACCTCCGAAAACGTCGAAGCCTACAATCGGACCCGACCAACTCGAGATACCTGAATTGTAACAATGCTGACATTGGTATCTGCGACAGTTATTATGGATAAGATGCGGACCAGGCGCGCTCATACTGCCCAAAGAGGTGTCGAAGATTAGCATGGAATTCAACACAAAACTCTACGGAGGACATAGAGGGGCAAGGTATGTGGGCATTGCTCCGTTACAAGTACCAAAGGAGGGCCAAGAATATGAAGCCAATTCAGGCACTATGTTTGAGAGCTGGCAATTGTACGCAATGACAAGAAGTAGCGCTCACTGTACGAACAGGAAATTCTGGCGCAATATGCTGCCCCGGATGAAATACCGTAACCCATCCATCCCAATGGAAGTCGCGCGACACAACGATCCCGATGGTCCCTCACTCCTCCACATCTTCACAGCAACCAAAACACAACCATCGACTGGCTCCACAAACTCTCCCACAACGCAACAATCAGACGCTTCACCGCCATCCGCAACACCAAACCCGCGTAATACGCTCGTACCCGATACCTCGAAACCCACGTTTTCGATTGACATGAGAGACCAGTCGGAGAGCGAGATCTTAGAGGCACTGGTGGAGAAGATAGGCGCAGTGGAGATCAAGCCAACGGAGGAGGAGCTCGCTGAGATGAAGGAGATTGAGGAGTTCAAGGAGAGGTCGGAGGCGGATAGAGTGCTGGTTAGGGAGAAGTTGATCAAGGAGCGGAGAGAGGCTGAGCTGCTCAAGTTGGCGAGGGGTGAGGCACCGGCTGCCAACTAAGTGTGTAGTCTGGGAGAAGTCACGAAGGATTGACATGAGAAACACGAGGAGGCTATGTGGTCTTCCACAGCAATTGGACTGCAATCTAGCGGCTTCAAGGCTGAGATATTGTAACATATGTATATTGTATGGCATACTCACGACGTCAATACGAGCCCTCGTGCCCAATGATTTTGACATGTTGGTGCTCATTGATGCATGGGGTAGCGGCTTCTGCGCAGAGGCCGGCTTTCATTCTCAAATATGCGTCTAGGGATGGTCCGCACATTGAGCGCATTCACATGACTTCGTGAATGATGCAATTCTTCTAAAACGCGTGAACGCGTCCGTCGCGCTTCTCGAGCGAGTCGCATGGAAAGTTATCAGGCTTCACGATCAACCAGCGCAAAGCTGCGCAATCGCATAAGCATCACTCATGAAGATGGCATGTAGCCGACTGGGTTAGTCCCAAGCATCAGTGGCCAACGGCCTAGCAAAAGGGAAACGGAATCAGTCTGCCTGACAGACAACCATACACCGAGCTCGAACCGCGTGAACGGTGAGCTCAGGCTGCCGGAAGCTGCCAAAGTTGCTCTGCGCTGCCTGTCGTCCGAAGCCTTCTATTGAGGAAGAAGGCTCCATGATGGACGAACTGTCAACATCTCAACCATCACACGGCTCCCCGAAAGGACGTGGACAGGAGACGTTGACACAGGGCGTTGTGGTGAGAACTCGATGGGTGAGGGCGCGCAACTTTTTTTATGTCGCTCGGCTGAACGCCGGCGCGCTAGTGGGTAGCGGCTTGGCGGGAAATGTGTGGGCGGAGGTGCGATGTTGCCCGCAGGTCACGAGTAGGCACTCATCACCGAACTTCACCTTTGGGGAATATCAAGTGTGCTTTCACTCTTTGCGACCACCACTTCTGTACACTGCTCGAAAGTGTATTGAAGATCCCGAACTTCCGGCGCCGTCACAACCTTCCTTCCAGGACCATAAACCTCTGCGTTGCGACAGGACATCACGACCGCATCAGCCATGGCGGACCTATCCATCGATGAGGCGAACAAGATTCGTCTGTCTATGGGTCTCTCTGCTCTCCCCGGTGGAAGCACGCCTGCAGCACCCGCAGCCCCCGGCCTCGATTTCAAGGCGGCGCAAAATGGCGACGACTCGGACGAAGAGCCTGCGAGCACCATCGACACGCGCCAGGCCGCCGCTTCGGACAACTGGAAGAAGTTGGAAGAAGCGCGACTGGCCAAGATAAGACGTGAAGAACGCGCCGCGGCGATCAAGAAGGAGCGCGAAAAGGCGGCGCGCTTTGCAAAGCTTGAGGGCAAGGGGCTGGCGGACGAAGCAGACGTCGACGATGACCTGGCCTGGCTGAAGAGCAGCAAGAAGCGCCAGAAGAAGATCGCCAAGGAGGAGCAGATGCGCAAGGAGCTCGAAGAGCGCGAGCGTCAGGCACTCGAGGCCATGCAATATACCGACAAGGACCTTGCTGGTGTCAAAGTTGGACACGAGGTCGACCAGTTCGACGATGAAGATCAGATCCTTGTTCTCAAAGACACTGCAGTCGACGGGGAAGACGATGACGAGCTAGAGGCGGTTGAACTCAGAGAAAAGGAGCGACTACAAGAGCGACTCGATTCGAAGAAGCGAAAGCGCGCATACGACCCCAACGATATGGACGAGGGAGGCCAGAAGTCGATACTTGCACAGTACGACGAGGAGATTGAGGGCAAGAAGCGCAATGCGTTCACATTGGACGGGAAGGGCCGAACTGTTGAAGACGTGCAGGCTGAAGTCGCAGGTTCTTCAAGACCAAAGAAGGTCGCGATCAGTCTAGACATACTCAAAGAGGACGCGCCCACTAACGATTACATGGACGTGTCGGAAGTCAAGATGAAGAAGCCTAAGAAGAAGAAGGGCAAGAAATCCAAGCGAGAACGCGTCGAAGATGATGAGGAAATGCTTGCCATGCCTGCGGAAGACACTGCAGCTGGCGACGACATGGACATTGACGGTGGTGAATCCTCCGCACCACAACAGAAGAAGAAGAAGGTGTTCGACGAGTCGTTTGTGGATGACGACGACCTTCAAGCGAATCTTGCAGCACAGCGCCAAAAGGCCCTCAAGAAGCGCAAGAAGATGCGACCGGAAGATCTTGCACGGCAATTACGTGAAGACGCATCAACACCCCAGCCAGACGTTATGGAATCCACAGAAGATGGTGATGGCGGCCTTGTTATTGACGAAACAACCGAGTTCGTACAAAATCTAGGTGCTGCAGGCGATGCCGACGAGGAGGAAGCCCGCCGGAAGCGTAGAAAGTCCAGCCACATCTCGGAGGGCACGAAGTCCATGGGCGATATGCCCGTCGCTGATGAAGACGGCGATGTCGAAATGGGCCAATCCTACGCTGAAGCAGCCGAAGCAGAAGAGGCCCGAAACCGCAGCATCTCGCGCGCTCGCTCCACCGACATTACTGAGACAGGTCTCGAGGCAGAGAAGACTGTCGACCAAGGTATGGGTGCCACTCTCGCCCTGCTCAAGCAACGAGGTCTGGTCACAGAATCCGACGCCTCCGACAAGAACGCGATGTACCGCGACCGCCAAAAGTTCATTGCCGACAAGAAAAAGGCCGAAGATGACGCCGAGCGCCAACGCAAGATCGCCCGTGAGCGCGAACGAGGTTCCGCCCGCTGGAACAACATGACGCCGCGCGAGCGCGAAGAATGGGCCCGCAAAAACAACACGAGCGCCGAGATGGTCGAGAGTCGCCGTCTCGCTGAGCTCTTTAACAAGGAGTACACGCCCAACATTGAGCTCAAGTATGTTGACGAACACGGCCGCCACATGAACCAGAAAGAAGCCTTCAAGCAGCTCAGTCACCAGTTCCACGGCAAGGGTAGTGGAAACACGAAGACGAAGAAGCAACTTGACAAGGTTGCTGCTGAGAAGAAGAAGATGGCTGAGAGTTCGCTTGAGGCGAGTAGGAGTGGGGGTGGTGGGTTGGGAAATGCGTTTGATGATCAGGCGAAGAAGAAGGGTACTGCTGGTGTTCGCTTGCAGTAAAGCTTGGATGATCGAATACTCGACGACGTGCAAGTCGCTAACAGCAAAGGCGGTATCCGTGACTGATGAAAGATGATCGAATGGCATTGCCGTGGGCTTGAAAGGTCAGTAAGTTCCTGAAGCTGTACATTAGAAACTTTATCATTAATGCGAATCGCGAAAATAGAACGTCCCCTATCGACAGTGGTGATGGTATGCACTCCTGTATGTGCACCCTACTGACTTTAGGATACTCATCTGTGTATTATTGTCCCTTTGACTCACATGACTGGCATCTCACCCAGTCATGCTCATCGTATCATGATAGCGTAAGTGCGTGTTTCACGTCGATGTATAGTCATGTCTATGCTGATGCCCCATCTTTATGTTATGGACCACCAACGCCATCCACGAACAATGCATTGTCAGACTCCATTGTGACTCTGAATGACCCTCTCTTCGGTATGATCTCTGCGTCAGAACATGTATATAGCTGCACATCTGTGCCACAGAATCAAAGGCGTGTTATATCAAAAACCTACAACGTTCTCATCATGGTCCAATACCTACCAAATTAGATTGATGATGCCAATCTAGCATACCACTACACTGCAGAGCAGACAGCTTACGGAATCTATTATCGTCGAAACGGAAATGACGATCAATTCCCAGCAGGGTTCTACGAATCCGAAAGGTGTGTGTCCATGTGCCATTGTATCCATGTCTAATTATCATCTCAGAACTAGCAGTCACCCGGTTTCCAGTCAACCAGCTTCCAATGTCTCAAACTCATTGCCGACCATCACTCTGAGCATTTGTGTCTTTAAGGGTTTCCCGCTAGATTACCAAGAATACCGACACGCTGGTCTTTGTTTCCGGCCTGACGGAGGAACAGCCATGATGATTCACACTACCGGGCCAAACACGGCATATGAGCTCCAAACGAAGGATAACTTTAACCCGAGCAAGAGTCTCAGCTTCGCCAAAGAAGTCACTGTTGGAAAAATACGGACACCAATGACCAAGGCTCGATTAGCAGCTCTCATCTACCAAACGCCGATCGACAATCGCAACCCCGAATTCAACTGTCTTCTCTGGGTAGGGGACGCTCTCGAGAGACTGGCCGCAGCTGGGTATATAACCAAGGAGGAGTGTACCGGTGGTATTGAGAAGATGGTGGATGCGACCATGGAAGCAGAGGAGGAGCCAGAACCTGGTGACCCTGCTTAAGGCTTTTGCCATCGCATGATAGCTTGGTGGTATGCAAGCTCATTGTCATAACATTCGGGGAATATTTCCTTTGCACGATCTTTCCAATCTTTGTACTTGCACGGTCGCCCAGCGCAGTGCGGATTGGGGTTGGTGTAGAACCCACGAGATCGAAATATAGTGAGGCGTTGAATGCAGTCTCGTCTGGATACGGCCCTCCATTGTAGTGACTATATTGGCGATCGTCACGGGCTTTCCCACCAGAGCAAGATCCAATGAATTCGGTCTTAGATGGTATTGATCTCATGGTTGTGAGGATTTCTCGTAGCTGTTGGCATATATGGTCCTTCTCTTCCACCGTCATTCGAGGCCAAACTTCATCAAGTCCATCACCCTCGCTAAACTCCATTTGAATGAAGGTTTCTCCACATTTCTCGCCTGCGCCGTATACGTGTGGAACAGGAAGGCCATACTGCGCGGCGAGCTCGAGTGCCCATTGCTCATCGATATTGATACGCTTGACTCGCTTGATGACTGTACCGTCGGGCTGTCGCGTAACGAGACACCCAGGCATATTGTTAATAATCTCAATGTCTGCTTTCTTAGTATCGTACCTAGGTATCAAACGTGACTTGGTTGAAACTCACTTTCTCTGTTCACACTCGTCATACTTAATGGAACTGATGCCATTCTTCCTGTTCTCACGCTGACAAAGACACCTAGGTACTCGAGGGCGCACTGTACGTAGGTACCTAGGTATGCAATATCTTATCGTGATGATGGCTTCGATCAAGCCCTTAAGGGATTGAGGGGTTGAGTCAACGAATTTGGGCACGTGGCAGTAATGTACCTAGGTATTAGCTCTGACTTTATCGCGTCTAACTTGTTGTTGGAACACAGCCCGAAGCAGTGTGCAAGAGATGGTCATCGCACAGTATCCGGGTATGCTGGGCCTTCGGGGTCGGCGCTGCAGCGTCGCCGATTGTTCCCGGGCGCTCTGAAGTTGCCCACCTGCATCATTGAACTCGTGCGCGACTTCTGCGCAACCTTCCCTAGGATCGCAAACATATATCCCATTAGGAAGCGGAACAACCCGTGGTACTTACCAGCGCTGTAGCGCTACCTGAATGAATATGCAAATCGGCGCAAAACGTTCCAGAGCTTGTGCCAACGCCTGCGCACCCCGCACTCCCTCGCCATCGAGTCCGTTGTCGCGATTTCACCACTCTCATCAAGCAGCTCAACACCCACATGATACGGTATTAGCAGAAGTTAACGTCGTATTTAGCCCATGATGAGAAGGCTACCTGCACGGAAAAGCTATGGATCCGATCTGATCTTCCTTCACCAGACGGAATCACCAGTCAGCTCTACAAAATCGCCTTCTCCCCAGATCCACGTACCCTTCAGTGCTGGTTCCCAACTCACCAAGTCATCGAAAACTGCTTTCGTGGATTTAGTATAATCTGGACAAATCAGAGGCTCCTGACGAAAAGACTCTCTGGTATCCGAAGCCAGAAGGAGCAAAGCGAAGAGCTTGTCTCGAGGGTCTGAGGCGTTAAACTTGTTCGTAGAGACTAGGAGGTCCCTGATTCCTGGGTCCGAGTTTCCCTCGTCTCTGAAAACAAGATGTTGCCATGAGTATCGGATTACGTCACAGGAAGAAGCTGTAGCAGGTTCGGAGTTGCGCGGCAGGCTGTCTAGATGATGGACCAAAGGTAGTATGATATCGAGCATCTCTTCCCAGCTCACCACATTATCGACGATTCTGAGGTCAACTTTACGACCGCCTCGCTCACTTTTGGGGGCCAGAAGGACCTCTTGCACAACCCAAATTCGGCTCCACCATGGCCGATCGAACAGTCTCTCGAAGCTGGTCCACAGTGCCTTCTTGTACCAGCCAGGAGAGCTCATATCCACACTTTCTTCGTGAAGATCGAGTGCAAGTTGGCGGAGTACTTCGTCTTCAGCAAGACCAGTCCAGAAAGGATGTGTATTCTCACACATTGCGACGTAAAGGTCCATGATCATGATCTCACCATGAGCTTTCGTCATAGGGAGTAGGTGTGCCGTCCATGCTCTCATGAGAAATCGGCTGTACTTGTCTTCCAGTCCCAACCATACCAACACTGCCTCGGCCGATGAAAATATATTGCCCATGGACTGGACTTGATGCATCTTTTCGGGCAAGTCTTTCTGGTTGATGCACAGAGCATCTATCCACAAGCACTGTTTGCTCTCGTTCCGCAAGAATGTGAGCGCCGTGTGAAGGTTCCGGGTAATTCGGAACGGCACACTGATTGGTTGCTGACATGCGCCTGATGAAGTCATCGACTGGCCAAGCAGTTGGATCTCAACGGTGTCTTTCGTATTTCCCCAACAATAGGACAGCGCTACATATGGTCTGCGACTTTCAGATTCCCCGCTTATGCTTGTATACACCAACTCGCATTCGATAGGGTCGTTCCCATGTCCCGGTCGCAGAATAACGCATCGTATCTCTTTCGACTCAGGGTTCAATGGTAGGAAGGCGGCATCGTCGTTCTTGACGCCGCGGAAAGGTAGATATAGTCGACATGGAGTTTGCAATGACGAAGTCATTGAAGGTTAAGTATTACATTTCTCTGGTTGATTTCACGAAATAGTCGGAAAAATGGGGATTAACACTTGACCAAATATTCGGATTTAGTGAGGCTGCTCAGATACATACAGATGTAGTGTGGTGGCTATGCCAACTCATTACATCACCTGCGCACACCGCTTGTTCCTTCTTTATGAGAGTGCTCCATTCAGACAGCACGAACACTCAAGTAGCTCCAGGGACGTCCCAGACCTTACCGAAAGGGTCATGATGTGCATCCGTCTCACGGTTGTATTCCAAGGCCAAACTCAAGAAATGTGCAACCTCTTCCCCATACACGCGACTGACGAACGCGTATGTCCCATCGATGCCTGCCGAAACTCCACTTGTGGAGATAATATTGCCGTCTTCTACCCAACGCGCAGTTGGCACCCAGTCTACATTGGGACCAGTCGATGTAGCCCATGTCCAGGCAGCCTTGTTCGTGGTTGCCCTGCGACCGTCGAGGATACCTGCACGGGACAGGAGTGTGGCGCCGGTACAGACGGATATGATATATTTGAGCGGTGAGGTTGTCAGCTAGTGATTGGGAGGGAAGGTCAGGGGAATATGCATACATTTGGGTAGGTAGCCTTGACGAAGTTGATCTCTTCCGTCATATCTCTACGAGTCCCTCCACCGCCAGGGACGATGAGGACGTCGATTGCGCCCTTGTCACTTGCAGAAAATATGTCGTCATCACCGTGGTCCTTCTGCTTGTTCTTCGTCCAATCAGTCTTATTCATATCCATGTAACGGTCGCAACTCACCAGATACTCCGAAAATGTCATGGCCGGCATGATCTCTTGACCAAAACCTCCATCGGTCATAGCCGACGTCACCGGATCCATGGTCTTGCTGAAGACTGTAAACTGCGGCACGATGGATGTGTTTCGGTAGTACATGAAGAGCGAGTTCAGGAGGTCCATGGGTCCGAAGATGTCGAGAGCTTGGAAGTGTGGGAATGTGAGTAGACCGAAGTGAGTTGGTAGAGTTGTGGTGTTAGCAATTTCGGGCTGGGCCGGTCTTGCGAGAGTTGAGCCGATGGCTAACAAAGTCGGGAGCAGGGTGGAGTATCGCATTTTTGGAGGTTCGTAGTTGGTAAGATAGAGTGGGCGAGAAGTAGCAAGCCAGAAGTAAGAGGAGATGTGAAGGGGCAACCCAGTGGGGACCCAAGTAGAAGAGAGGCCTTCAAACAAATACCACGGTGTACCTGCGGCTCTGAACTGGGTTTGCTGACTATTTGACGATTCTCTGAGGAATTCACTAGACTTCTTATACTCCAAATTTCGTTGGACATCTTAAACCCGAAATCTCCACATGGATGCCCGGAGCCAGCAATTTGGCTGCAGTGTAATCTAAGTCGCATGGTTGTATTGGTTCTAATGCGCTCATAAGCCTCGCCGAGCAATAATTGAGGTACAGCAGGATCAGGCGGATGCGAAGATCACACACCTCCGATGTCGAGATCGAACAACTTCGTAAGGCATCCAATGTTTGAGAAGATATGAGCGAGTTGCGAAGATTTCAACTCCACTGGTTTAAGCGACTAGTGATCATCTTGACAATCCGCATCCACCGATGACTTGTATTGCCAGTCAGCTTTCAGTGTTCGCGAGGTGTCCAATAGCTTTGGCGAGCCGCCAGGGCGTAATAGATTAAGGATGAGCGGTCAGCCCTTTCGATAATTAATCAGGAATGTGGGGTATCATGGGTTCTGGTATCGCAGCATGCCAAGAAAGTCGATTCCGGGTCTTTGTATATGTGATGTGCCTGTCCGCGACGCGGTTGCCAGATGATCGAGCAGGTGCCGCGATGCATGCATGTAGCTAGAGTCCTTCGGGCCAGCAATGTCGATGTGCGTCTAGCGTGGTCCCAGGTAGTCGCGCTCCAGCATGATTCTATATTTCTTTTCTCGGACCGGCTTAGACGATCGCATCCGGGTCCTGTGTCTGGATTCGCCAGCCTCCTCTGCCGACCGGCATGCACACTGCCTGTCGCACTTCCCAAGCTTCACCTGGTCCGTTCGCATCATGCGAACATGGCTTGATGTGCATCGAGATGAAAACACGTCCAGGGATCTGTGTTTGTGAAGTCGTTGGGTAGGCCAGCGGGTTGTCGCAAACAGCGCAACGTATGTCAATCGGACCTGCCTAACTAAAAGACGAGGTCGAAATGAAGAGAAGATGTGAAGGAAACATTGATTAGTCAGAGACGTGATCGAGAGACAGCATCGAGGATGTAGATCTCGCGCCAAGCCAGCGGGTTCCTGCGATAATGACGTAGCTTGAGCCGCGCGTGATCCCAGCTTGAAATCTGCACAGCGAACCGCATCTTTCAGCCTCCTGCATTCAAGAACCCCATCATCAAATCGCGCCTCTATAGAGTTATCTGACATTCTTGTGTAGCCCTGCGCGTTAGTGTCGACATAAACAGCAACAGCCCTGCGCCCCAATGCATGCGAAAGCTTGTTATAGCAATTCGGCCTCACAGAGGTAGTACATTCCGCGACGATGCCATCAACCCGGCCAGGCCTTGATGCGCGCAGGTCAACGCTTCGTAGGTAACATCCTATATGGAATAGACAGGAGACATATACTGACTGGTACATCCCCATGTAGATTACACGACCTTCCCAACTATCCCCCCTAAATCCCGCGGCCGACCACCATCTGACGCCCCGTCTGGTCAAGATGGCAACCGATCCGAAGACGGCAGCCATACCCACCATGAAAAGCCCCTACCGACGAAGCAGCTCATCGTGCTAGCTGTCATAGCTCTCGCTGAGCAAACGGCGCTCAACTCAATAGGCCCTTATCTGCCTGAGATGACGAAATCGTTTTCCGCTGTCAAGGATGGACAGACAGGTCTATACGTCGGACTCATCGCGTCGTCTTTCGCGTTGGCACAATTCACAACAAATTTCTTTTGGGGCTGGCTGTCGGATAAGATCGGACGAAAGCCGGTAATAATCACGGGCACATTTTTGACCATGTGCTGTTTTCTGGCTTTTGGCTTCTGCAGGGAGCTATGGCAAGCTATACTCGTGCAGGCCCTGATGGGCTTGGTCAACGGAAACTCTGGCGTTGTGTCGACGTGTTTGGGCGAGATTACGGATCGAAGCAACCAATCGCGCGCATTTACCTATCTGCCCGTCGTCTACGGTATCGGTGGCATAACGGGACCGATCGTAGGAGGACTCTTGGTGCTCTACCAGAACCCGTTCAACAAGAGCCAGTCGAATCCCTACCCGTACCTCCTCCCGAACCTCTTTTCGGCCCTCGTCCTCGCGATAGACCTGATAGTGTGTATGCTCTTCTTGGAGGAGAGTTTGGAAGAAGCCAAGAATCTGCCACCTTTCGGAAAGAGACTGGGCAACTTGTTCTCATGGATGTGGCAGTTCTCGAGCTCCACGCGACCTACCTACGTACGACGCCTCCTAGGCAATCACAAAACCCACAACTCACACGGTGGTGTGGACGATGTAGACGAGGACGACGCATCCGACGCCTCTGAGGAATCTGCGCCTACACTATTCCCACACAGTAGCGGCGACGAACTTACACGGAAGGAGATCTTGAACCGGGACACAGTCCTGCTTCTCATAACGTACTTCATATTCCAGCTCGCTAACATCTCCTACAATTCTCTGTATCCGATCTTCGCGGAAGAGCAACCACCTACCGGACGCGGGCTGAAGCCTGAGGCTGTCGGACTATCTCTGTCATTCGCAGGCGCTATAACGATACTGTTCCAGGTGGGCATATTTGGCAGGCTTCGAGACAAGATGGGCAACAAGATGGGGTACAGAGTCAGCTTAGGGCTGTTCATTGCAGCCTTCGGTCTCATGCCGTTTGTGGGCTACAAAGAGAGCAACGGATACAAGGGCATTGGTACGGGTGCTGGTTGGTTGTGGTTTGAGCTCGGCGTCGTGCTGGTTATCAAAACGATTGCAGGTGTTGGCGGCCTGACAGCTGCACTCCTTATGGTAAGTTACTCTAATTCCAACATGACGCGCTCTACGGAGGCTGATATTATGCAGATCACCAACTCCGCACCCAATCACAACGTGCTCGGTACGCTGAATGGCCTCGCTCAGACGCTCTCTGCTGCTGGTCGCGCTGCCGGACCCTTCGTGTCAGGTTCGCTTTTCACAGCAGCTACCAAGCTGAAGCCCAAAGGCGAAGCCCTGCCTTTTGGCATTTTCGCTGGTATCGCACTCCTCGGTTTCCTTTTAAGCTTCGGTATTCGTGGCGATGGACTGGAAGCCGAAGGATGGAGCGAGGATGATACCGAAGACGAAGATGAAGAGGAGGAGATTGGCGAGGGCGCGAATGAACGGACTGGTCTGATACGGAAGTAAAGACATCATCGTAACTGGTGCGATTACAGCATACTTGCATGGCTTAGGCCCCCCGAACCTTGTCTATCAGCGCGGCGTTCATATGGCGGATCTAGAAATCGTTTGCTGGTTGTGGTTTCAGCCAGTACAATATCAATATTCTTTGAACATCCGTTGTGACTGTTGCGGTGACTGCAGGCAAACAACATTTTCCAAGTCGGAGGACACATGACGACCTGTGAGACTTTTCCATGGGTGAGGCAAGCTCGGTATGTTTACTGCATGGGGGTCAAACTGGCTGTATTTGCGGTTCCTCCCGTCTGCAAATAGCGGGCCTCATGTAAGCACATCAGGCGAGCTGTTAGAGATGGGGCGTAAGGTGCATGAGCATGTATGCACCTCTGGATCACCGGGTACCAAGTTCAGCCCAGTATTGTGAGATTATGAGGGTGAGTGGGTCATGTAAGACCGGGAGCGAAGAGGAAGTGATATCTGCGCAACGCCGGCTTGGTGAGGTTTGATAGTTGCTGAAAAGAGGTTGTGGGCGCTGTAGAGGCAACGCAGAACGCCGAGCTGGTCGGCTGCGGACGGGTGATCGTGAGCTGCGTACGAGTGCTACTGCAGCACCTCCACCAACGCACGACAAAAAGATGCGTTTCAACTGCTGCAGCGATGACTTCGACTTACGAAGAGGCTAACTGGCGAGGCACCTCCGCCACAGACTCGACGCTGGACGCCTGCACCGCTAGCGGCCCGTCTACGGATCTCAGGGCTGAGCTGACTCTCCTATCTTCCACACCGTCTAATTCGACACACCCGCGCGCCAAGCCTCACGTGGAGGCAATGATTGGACCGACGTACGCTACAACCAGTACTCCAGCATCTGTGCTCTTCCGATTCACGATAGCGCTGTCAGCATTGTTGCGCTGGCTTGCTGCTGAGCCCGACCCGCGCAGGCTTGGTGGTGAAAGCTTCCTCCGGCTTAGCACGACCTAACCCGCCATGCGTGCTCCGCCAGCGACACCCGTGTAACGCGCCGCTATGCGGTGCTATTGGTACCGTTGCTAGCGGACTCAAGGCGGAACCGTACTCGCCGGCCTGGGCCTCCAGCCCTAAGATAGAACATGCGCCATAGCTTGCGGGGCTATCTCGTGTCGCGTGTAGTATGCGAATTGGGATTTGCATAAGACTCACTGCGGCGCCGAAGGCAGCTCGTATTTGTCTTGGTAGTCTTGTCCGTCTGTCTTTGATTTAACCTCGCTGCTCCTTTCCTGACCGTTGGAGTTGAGTTGTGGTTGTATCTCGTCGACTTTGTGGGAAATTGGCATCATGGGCTGGACTTTTCACGGCCACAAACGCGATGTCGATGCGGAAAAGCATCTTAGACGGCTGCACAAGACAACACCGTTTATCGAATCCCCGCTAGTTGGTGCCGATCACGAACACCTCGTCTTCTCTCAACGGCACGAAGCGAACAGCGTGGAACTTTTCTTCGATTTATTCTTTGTTGCCAATCTTGCGACTTTTACGGCCTACCACTCTATTACCGATATCGACTATCTGCTGGCATACATCGGTTTCTTTGGCATATTGTGGTCATGTTGGTTCCAGATCACACTTCACGATGTACGGTTTGCGCGGGATTCGCTCTATGAGCGCGTGTGCAAATCGATTCAATTCATCGTCTTTGTCGGTCTGGCGCTAGTCGGAAGCCAGTTCAACCCAGCAAGCGCGAAAGGT